TCATTAAATATTTGCAAATGAGTCAATGTGATATATCACACTGACAAAAGGAAACATAAAACCTATAGGACCATTTCAATAGATGTAGAAAAAGCATTTGATAAATACAGCATCCATTCATGATTAAAAACTCTACTAATAAAATGGGTTCAGAGGGAACATACCTCAACATAATAAAGGCCATATATGAAAAACCCACAGCTAACATACTCAGTGCTTAAGAAACACGGGTTTTTCTCTAAGATCAGGAACAAGACAAGGATGCCCACTCTCACCACTTTAACTCGACAAAGTACTGGAAGTCCTAGCTGCAGCAATCACACAAGAAAGAGCAGTTTCCAGGGTGCCTGGGTGGCTCAGTGGGTTAAGCCTCTGCGTTGGGCTCAGGTCATGATCTCAGGGTCCTGGGATCGAGTCCCACATCGGGCTCTCTGCTTGGTGGGCAGCCTGTTTCCTCCCCTCTCTCTCTCTCTACCTGCCTCTCTGCCTACTTGTGACCTCTGTCAAATGAATAAATAAAATCTTTAAAAAAAAAAAAAAAGCAGTTTCCAAATTGGCAAGGAAGAAGTTAAGCTAACACTATTTGCAGACGACATGCTACACCACATACAGAAAACCCTATAGACTCCACCAAAAAACTATTAGAACTGATAAGTAAGTTCAGTAAATTTGCAGGATACAAAATTAACAGAATTTTGTTATGTTTCTTCTATATGCTACTAACCATTTATACATGCACCAAAAAGAATAAAATACCTAGGAATAAACTTAACTAAGGAGATGAAAGACCTATACTCTGAAAACTGTAAGACTTTGAAGAAAGAAACTGAAGATGACACAAAAAGAAGATATACCATGCTCACAAATGGGAAGACTATCATTAAAATAACCATACTACCCAAAGCAAAGTAGATTCAATGAAATCCCTACAAAAATGCCAATAGCACTTTTCATAGAACAAGAATAAGTAATCCTAAAATTTGTTTAGAACCACAAAAGACCTTGAATAGATAAATCTTGAGAAAGAAGAACATAGCCAGAGGTATCACAATTCCAGTTTCAAAATACGTGACAGAGCCATAGTAATCCAAGGATGGTAAAATGGATACACAGATTGATGGAACAGGAGATGGGGAACCCAGAAATAAACCCGTGCCCATACAGTCAGTTTATCACAAAGGCAAGAATTTAGAGTGGGGAAAAGACAGCCTTTTCAATAAATGGTGCAAAAAACAAAAAGCACAAAAAAACCTGGGACAGCTGCTTGCAAAAGAATGAAATTGGACCCCTTTCTTACAACCCACACAAAAACACAAAATGGATTACAGACCTAAATGTGAACCCCAAAACCATAAAACTCCTGCAAGAAAACATAAGCAGTCATCTGGACATCACCCTTAGCAACATATTATAGATGTCTCCTCAGACAAGGGAAATGAAAGCAAACTTATTTGGAAGTACATCAAAATAAAAAGCTTTTGCACAGTAAAGGGAACTATCAACAAAATGAAAGGCAACCTACAGAATGGGAGATGATGTTTGAAAACAAAATATCTGACAAAGGGTTAAAGTCCAAAATATATGGAGAGCTTACACAACTCAATACCAGACAGTTGGTTAACGCTCTTATTAAAAAATGGGCAGAGGACCTGCACAGCCGTTTTTCCAAAGACATACAGGTGGCAAACAGACACATGAAAAGATGCTCAACCTCACTCATCTATCAGGGAAATGCAAGTCAAAATCATAATGATATAACCTCACACCTGTCAGAATAGCTGGTATCAAAAAAACAAAAACAAAACCAAAAACAAAACAAAAACCGACCCAAAAAAACACATGCTGGTAAGGATGGGAAGCAAAAGAAACCCCATACACTGGGGTGGGCAGGTAAAGGTACAGCCCCTGTGGAAAACAGTATAGAAGTTCATCCAAAAAATTAAAAATAGAACTACCATGCCAGTGAGCTCACACTTACTAGGAAAGTTCACATTCAAATACTAATTAGGAATGGGTTGAGCAGTCTTACAGAGACCCTCAGGTTGAATAGACACGAGTGCACTGTATGTGTGAATGCTTCAAATATACCTAAGATTTTGTCTTAGATTTCTTCTTCTGAGAAATTACTGCTTAATAAGATGGGTAATTACAGTGTTAGCTTAAAAAAATAAAAGCAGTATCATATCCTCCAGTAATTCCACAACTGGTTATTTATCCAAGGAAAACAAAAACACTAACTGGAAAAGATAAATGCACCCCTATGTTTACTGCAGCATGATTTACAATAACCAAGATAAGGAAGCAACCCCAGTGTCATCAATAGATGAATGAATGGGTAAAGTACATGTGTTTATGTGTTAAAGATACACACACAGTGGAATGTACTTAGGCATTTAAAAAAAAAATGAGATTTGCCACTTACATGAACATGGATGGACCTAGAGGGTATTACGCCAAGTGGAATAAGTCAGATAGAGAAGACAAATGCCATACGATTTCATTTATATATGGAAGATAAAAAATAAAAGACTTAAATACAGAGCACCAACTTATGGTTGCCAGTGGGGAGGTATTTGGGGGACAGACTAAATAGATAAAGGGGATTAAGAGGTAAAAAACTTCCAGTTATAAAATGAGTAAGTCATGGCGATGGAAAGTACCGCATAGGGAGTAGAGTCAGTAATACTCTGAGAATGTTGTACAGTGACAGATGGTGGCTACACTTACTGTGGCAAGCAATGAGTAATGTATGGAATTGCTGAATCAATATGCTGTACACCTGAAACTAATATAACACTGGATGTTAATTACTCAATGATAATTCAATGAAAATAAAGAGGAGGTTCTATGAAGTTATATCTCACATACAGGTTTTTATGACATTTTATGAAATGATACTGTACTATGGTTATGTAAGATGCTGTTAGCATAAGCTGGGTGAAGGGCACACATGAACAATACACTGTTTTTGTAACTTCTTGTAAGTCTAAAATCATTTGTAAATTAAAAAAAAATTAGAGACAGAAGAAACGTTGGGCAACCAAGGCTGCTAGGGCTAGCCTGAGCAGGATGAGTGGCTCGGCCACAGGGTCCGCAAGTGACCTGCCGTCTAAGACTTCCAGATGCTGTGCCTAAGTTTCTAGCAGTTAATCGGTATAAACTGATGATCTGGCTGTCTACACACCTTGCTTTTGTCTTTGATGTTATTGGATGGGAAACTATAGTTATTTAAAAATATTAGAGTCATCAAAAGTCGGCCAGGTTTTCTTAACCACGTCTTTTTATACTTTAGGACATTTAAAATATAAAGAAACATGTGAAGGTTAAACTGCAGTTTCACCCATTTTCCGCCACCCAGAATTATTAACATTTTGTCACATATGCTTCCAGACTCCTTTTCTGCATATACACTTCGCTTTTTAATTGCAAGAATAAGTTAATGAATCTAATTTCAAAAAAAAAAAATGGGTTTTATGGCAAACATACTGGAACATGGCTTTCCCAGAAAGGTGAAGGCTTAACGTTATCAAATAATGAGAATGTACAAGTTTTCTATAGTTATTCATCCTTTATTTTTAGGAAAAGATTACTCCTGTCTCTACCTTAGTCCTTTATAATATATTCTTTATGGTATTTTTCATACAATATAATAAAGTAATTTACTTAATAAATGTTTCAATGAGTGAAGAATTTCATTCTCAAAGAAATGAGCAATCCAGTTTTTTTAGTTTTCAGGAGTATTCTCTAGATTCTTTTGGCTTAGTCTGTTCTAAAAATTAGTAATTCTTTTGAAAGCAAAACAAATTTTAAAGTTCTACCTAATATGATTTACTATAAATTTTTCTCTGGTCATCGGTACAAAACTATATACACTTTATGATTATCGCCAATGTCACTATTTTATTTTAAATTTCTTTTTCTATGTTTTCCCTTAGTTACTATATAATATGCTTTCTTAATTTCTTTATGCCTTCTGTTTTCAAAAATTTTAATGTTTCAGAAAGTTCCTTACCAGTCTGCCAAATCCATTACAGAAGGAAGCATATATTCCCCTAATATCCTCAAGCTTTTTGCAAACTGATGAATTTTATTTAAGTTTTAGGTTTACATTTAGGCTAAGTAACTAGCTGAGTTCATACTGTATTCAATAATTTATTCAGTGTTTATTGAGCATATATATTGGGTGCATGAGAAAAAGGGAAGCAAGGAAACAACAAACCCATATCCCCAAGTTGCTTAGAGGCTAGACAGGAAACAGAGATTATTCAAAGAATCACACAAACGTCTAATCACACCTGAGACAGGTCTTATGAAAGAGAGATTCATGGTGCTGTACTGCGGGCAGGGGGCGGGAAACAGACTTAGTTGAGAAAGTTGAGGAATGCTTTCCTGAGAAATCGATGACTGATCTAAACGTAGAGTTAACTGTTCCTGGCAGACAGTGTGATGCATGGTAGATAGTTAAGTAGGAAAGATAATCCAGCCAGGGGGAACTGAATTTCTATGCACTAAAAATAATCATTGGGGCACCTGAGTGGCTTAGTTGGTTAAGCATCCAACTCCTGATCTCAACCCAGGTCTTGATCTCAGGGTCATGAATTCAAGCCTCACCCTGGGTGTGAAGCATACTTAAAAAAAAAAAAAAAAAAAAAAAAATCACTGAGTCACTAAATGTTAAACCCCTTTTGGATGAGTAAACTGAGAGAGGTTAAATGATTTGCCCAAAACTCATACAGTGAGTTAATGAAGTTAAGGGCCTATACTCAGATGTCTTCATTCCTCATCTAATATTTTGTCTACTGTGCAAAGCTGCTTCCCTCTCTAATTTTGTTTCTTAATGTTTTGCTTTTTTGCATCAAGGGAAGTGTGCCAGGAATGATCCATTGAGTCAGCTGTCCGCTAGCAGTAGCAAAAATAGTAATTTAATCATCAAAAACTTAAGTGAACCATTATAAGCAGATTGCTTTTGTCAGGAAGCAATAATGCAAAGTCACTCTTACCTTCAGCAAGAACACACAGAGGATAAATGGGCATCCACAGTGTCTGACTGAGCCAGGTCAAGACGGCATAGGATATCCCTATGACTGACAACATGCTGTAAGTGTACCTAAAACAAGACAAGGAGCTCAGAAACATCATTTCCCACTGATATCTGGGAGAAGAAGAGAAGAAAATACCTTACACTGTAATTAAACACAGAGATACAAGTGGAAAGTTTAAATTCCAAACCTTATTTTCTACCATTTAAGCAGGAGGTTAAAAAAAATAATAATAAGGGGAAGAGAACTGTGTCAGTCTGGCTTGTCTCAGGGGTTGGATCATGGATAATTATGGAGGTAAACAAAGAAAAATGGAACCCTTACCCCTCAGCAAATTACACCTTTCCCTGATGAGTGAATTTAGGTTCACTCAGAAGCTAAGCCCATTTTATCCAGTATGCAGCTGGGTTTTTAAAAACAGACAGACTTGTAAATATTTAGGTAATGAATTTTTAAAACACAAGTGTGACTTCCAGGTCCTTATTGGTCATCCTTCTGCTCGTGCAGTTGGGCTACGCTGTGTGATCAGTTAAAGAGCCAGCCTTAGAAGCTTGTTTGGAGCGCAGTAGGTGGTTTTAAAGCTGCCTTTGTGATGTAATGGAGGAAGTAGTCTGCATCTTCTTGTTTCTCTGACTAGGCAGTGGTTCTCAAGCTTAAGCCGACATCAGAATCACCCAGAGGTCTTGCTAAAGCACACACTGCTAGGCCATATGCCCAGAGGGTCTCATTCTGTGGGTCTCAGGTAGAGCCTGAGAATTTCTATTATAAACAAGTTCCAGGTGATGCGGATGCCATACAGGGCTAGGGTCTGTACTTTTGAGAACTATTGGAATAGGCAGTACGTCATATGGCAAAACAAAATCCAAAACCTTGAAAACATGGAGAAAACTAAACCTTTCTCCCATTCTAGGACCTCGATTCCATTCCTCAGAGACAATGACCAATGCCAGTTTCTTATATATCCTCTCAAATACTCTTGCAATTGCTTATCTGTGTATATAAAAACCATATACCAACAGTGCAAGCCTTCACTAAACACGGCATGTTATCAAACTTGATCTGTACCAATCTCGAAAACAGCATCTATTTTTTTTAAAAGATTTTATTTTATTTATTTGACAGAGATCACAAGGAGGCAGAGAGGCAGGCGGAGGGCCGGGGGGAAGCAGACTCCCTGTTGAGCAGAGAACCTGATGCGGGGCTCGATCCCAGGACCCTGAGATCACCACCTGAGCCGAAGGCAGAGGCTTGACCCCCTGAGCCACCCAGGTGCCCCAGGCATCTGTTTTTTATTACAAGAGTAGACAAGCATCTTACATGTTTAAAACCACTTTTGATGAAGTCCAGTGTATCTTCTTTCTTCTGTTGCTTTGTTTTTGGTGTCTGAGAATCCTCTGCCAAATCCAAAATCACAAAGGTTTACCTCTATGCGTTCTTGGAGTTTTATAGGTTTAGCTCTTACATTTGGGTTTTTTGATCCATTTTAATTTTTTTGTATATGGTGTGAGGTAAGGATCCACGCAGATGGACATGTCATTGTCCCAGCACCATTTGTTGAAAAGACTATTCCCCCACTCCCATTTAATGGTCTTGGTCCCTTGTCAAAAATCAATCATCAACTATAAATGTGAGAATTTATCCCCGGACTATCAATTCTATTCTGTGCTATATCCTTATGCCAGTATCACATTCTTGATTATTATTGCTTTGTAGTGAGTTCTGAAATTGAGAAGTGTGAGTCTTCCCACTATGTTCTTCTTCAAGATTGCTTGGGCTAGTAAGTTCCTTGAATTTCCATATGAGTTTTAAAATCAGCTTTGCAATTTCTGCAAAGCAGCCAGCTGGGATTCTGATAAGGATGGCACTGAATATGTAGATCAATTTGGAGAGTGTTGCAGTCTTATTAAGTTTTCAATCCATAAACATGGGCTATCTCTTAATTTAGGTATTTTTAAATTTCTCCCAATAGTATTTTAAAGTTTTCAATGCATAAGTTCTGCCATCTCTTGTTGAATTTATTCCTAAGTACTTTATTTTTTGGATGCTATTAGAAATGAAATTTTTCCTTAATTTTATTTTAAAATAGGTCATTGCAAGTGTATAAAACACAATATACAAAAAGGATTTTGTATATTGGTTTTGTATTCAACAACCTTTCTTACTGATTTACTAGTTCTAGTACTTTTAGTGGATTCCTTATGATTCTATGTATAAAATCATATAACCTGCCAACAGACTTTACTCCTTCCTGCCTTTCACATCATTTTCTTGCCTAACTGCCGTGACAAGTATATCCAGTACAATGTTGAATAGACGTGGCAAGGGTTGTACACTCACCGTAGTTTCACTCATCTTAGGAAGAAAGCACTAGTCTTTCAACATTAACAATCATCTGGATGTGGGTTTTTTTTTTTTATAGATGCCCTTTTCTAGTCCTTGCATTTATTTATTTAAGATTTTATTTATTTGAGAGAGAGAGAGTACACACAATTAGAGGGGGTAGCAGAGGCAAAGGGAGCAGCAGACTCCTCACTGAGCAGAGAGCCCGATGTGGGACTCAATCCCAGGACCCTGAGATCATGACCTGAGCTGAAGGCAGATGCTTAACCAACTGAGCCATCCAGGTGTCCCTCTAGTCTTTGCCTTAAAAATAAAGGAATTTTAGGGTATGTTGGGAAGATAATTCCACCCCAACATCACAGAGGGAAAAAAACTGAGTTTTGAAAAGGCTACATGCTTAGAAATTTTACTTCCAAGTTATGAGAAAAGAAAGCCTATGTATATACAAAAGCTTGGATATGACTGATTATTCATAGCGATATTCCTCAGAACCAGAAAGTATGTCCATCAACTGAAGAATGGATAAATAAAAGTGGTATATTGCTATAATGGAATGTTATCCATAAAAGGAATAAAATACTGATAAAAAGGAATGAAATACTGATACATGTTATAACATAGATAAACCTTGAAAACATTAAGCTAAGTGAAGGAAATCAGTCACAAAAGGCCATATACAGTATGGTTCCATTTATATGAAATGTCCACAATAGGTGAATTCATAGAGACAGTATATTAGTAGTTGCCAGGGGCTGAGAGGAGAAAATGGGGATTTTACTGCTAAGGGGTTTAGGGTTTCTTTATAGAGTGCAGTGAAAATGTCCTCAAATTAGTGATGATAGTTACACATCTTTAAATACACTAAACCCCACAAATTTTCTATTTTACATGTGAATGTTGGGTGCCTAGGTGACTCAGTCCGTTAAGTGTCTGACTCTTGATTTCAGGTCTGGTCATGATCTTAGGCTCCTGAGTTCGAGCCTTGTATCTGGCTATACCTGAATGTGGAGTGCGCCTGCTTAAGATTCTCTCCCTCTCCCTCCGCCTCTGCCCCTCCCTACCCCCACACTTGCTCTAATTAATTAACTAATTAATTAAGAAATAAATAAAAGGTGAATGTTAAAGTACATGAATTATCTTAATTCTTTTGTTTTTGAAGGTTCAGTGGGATGTCCAAGATTATACAACAAGTAGTGGCTGTGGAATGCATCCTAAGATCTACTCTGTTAAAAAGCCCTTCCATGACATCATGATACTACTCTCAATGTTAAAATCATTTTGTTCTCTAATGGGTTTAACTGTGCTCATTAGAGACTGAATGGACACCGAAAGAGTCAGGCATACCAGAGAACAGTATGTCAGAAGGTCCCAGTCCCAGATGGGGCTCCTTGTCTCATGAACACAAAGTCATGGGCTACAAAAGTCCATGAAATTCACCCCAAGTCTACAAAACTATCAGTTAAAAATGAGGAATAACTTACTAAATTATATATACAAAGAATGCTACTCCTTTTCATTCAACAAAACATTTCATTCTAACTCACTCTAAGGCTCAACCTATTACTCAGAAATACTTTAATTCAGCTAAGTTACTGACAACATAGTAAATGAATAATTTATTTAACTCAGCTAATATGCTAGGGCACTTTTGTTACCTATCCACACCCAGATCTTGCAAATAGAAGGGGCAGTTCTCATTTGTGAAAGCCAAAGAAGCAGTTAAGACACCTCCCCAAGATGAGCCTCTGAGCAAAGGGGACTGTTTACCCAACTGCTGGTAGAGACAAGACTAGACCCATCTGTTTGCAAAGTTTTAGAAGTAGAAGGAAACTGAAGGTGATCTAGAGCAAAAGTTCTTAATCTGAGGTTCAAGAATTCCTAGGGTATCCACAAAATAACTTCAATAAGTCATTTGGACCCACTGGAATTGTATATAAAATATATCATGGAGATACAAGTAGAACCTAGGGGATATAGTAAAAAATATTGTCATAACATATGGGGACAGATGGTGACCACACTTATCATGGTCACTGCTGATTAATGTCTAGAACTGTCCAATCAGGGGCACCTGGGTGGCTCAGTTGGTTAAGCATCTGCTTTCTGCTCAGGTCATGATCCCAGGGTCCTGGGATCCAGCCCCATGTCAGGCTCCCTGATCAATGAGGAGCCTGCTTCTCTCTCTCCCTCTGCTACTCCCCCTGCTTGTGCTTGCTCCGTCAAATAAAGTCTTAAAGGGTGCCTGGGTAGCTCAGTGGGTTAAGCCTCTGCCTTCGGCTCAGGTCATGATCTCAGGGCCCTGGGATCGAGCCCCATGTCTGGCTCTCTGCTCAGCAGGGAGTCTACTCCCCCTCCCCACCTACCTGTGATCTCTCTCTGTGTGTCAAATAAACAAATAATCTTTTTTAAAAAATTGTACTTCAAAGAAAAACAACACAAAATAAATGTATGTGGAGGTACGTTCTTCCCCAGAGTGATAGGCCCTGTATTTAAAGTATTCTGGAACTCACAGAAAACAACTTTGTAAATCCTAAGACATAACAGAAGTCTTGCTTTGCTTGTTACAGTTATATGTACCAGAGCAATTTCAAGGAATGCCTTTCATTAGCAAGCAGCTGTGAGGTTTATCCCAAATTGGTGCTATGCCAAATCTTCTGCTGGAAACCTGAATGCACTGATTTGCTCTTGTAATACCACGGGAGGTTTGCATTACCTCCGACATGCCCATTATGGAAAGCGCTAAGAATACATTTCGATATCAAGATAAAATAATTTGGAAAGGGGTTATGTTTTCCTCTCTCCTTCAGGGTAACCAAATGTAGGCAGCTATTACTGGTTTCACTGTAGAAAAGCAACTTGGCTTTAAGATATTATTTTGCTGGGCACCTGGGTGGCTCAGTGGGTTAAAGCCTCTGCCTTCGGCTCAGGTCATGATCCTAGAGTCCTGGGATCAAGCCCCACATAGGGCTATCTGCTCAGCAGGGAGCCTGCTTCCCTTCCTCTCTCTCTCTGCCTGCCTCTCTGCCTACTTGTGATCTCTGTCAAATAAATAAATAAAATCTTAAAAAAAAAAAAGAAAAAAAAAGATATTATTTTGCCTCCTTACCTAACCATATCCAATAGATTCCAAAAGATGAATAAAACACACACCACATATTTTTCTTGGACTTCCTCTTGACTGGTGATCACCACAAAGAGGATGATTATTCTCTCTGTGAGCTAAGAAAGAAACAGCAAAGTCAAGAATTAGGATCCTCTGTTAAGCATGTAGGTCATTTTCTAATTTCAAAACCCAGAGTTCCTCTTCAAAGTAAGTATGCTTTAACTGGAAATAGGTATGCTGAACTGTTAACATGATCTCTGAGGGAGTAGGGTTATAGGTCAATTTCATTTCCTCCTTGCTGTTTTTTGTATTCTCCAAATTATATATAATGAATAAAAACATATTTTATGTAATCAGGATATTTCTCCTCCTGCGCTCCTGCGATATATGCACACATGTTTTTATTCACTTTGGTAAGCTTTTATTATATGTCCACTATGTATTAGATGCCAAGGTTTTTATACACACACACACACACACACACACACACACAGAAAGCAAGGTCCTTGCTCCAGAGGGTAGCAGTGGTAGGAGAATGTGGCGGTAGAATTATGACATAGTGTGAATAATGCTGTCATTTAAAGTGCTCTGAATGGGAGCACAGGTGAGGGACATAACTGCCTGGGGAAAGGATGCACAGATTTATGAAGACAGGCAACACCTCAGTTGGATCTGAGAGAAGAGGCAAGAGTTTCTTAGGTAGACTGATTAGGAAAAAGGACATCCTAGGTTAGGGGAACAGGAAAAGCAAAGAGGCAGAGGTGTGAAAATGCAGGTGTATTAGGGAGTAAGGAGAACCCCTGGAGGCTAGAGTTGGGGGAAAGGCTCAGAAAGGGAATAAATAGGAGATAAAATTGAAAACATGGCGGGTGCTGGGTTATAAAGGGTTTTGAATGACAGGCCAAGAAATTTCGATTTCATCTAACAGGGAAGCTATTGTAGCTTTTTTTAAGGGGGTGGATGGAGGGGGAAGAGAAGTAATATAATCCTAACCTTTATAAGCCAGTGGAAAATGAAAAGAATTCAACATCCACATTTTTTTCCAATCAGTAAGTGCAAATCATTGAGAATTCACACACTATGGCTTAGCTCCAATTACTGACCTCAAAAACTAAGTTCTTTCCCAATCTAAATATAATGAGCCACCTTATATCATATTAATGCCCCCTGCAGAGTCCACAGTTTTTGTTGTTTTTTTAAACAAAACATTCTACTTTGCTCTCAATGGTCAAAGGAAAATGTACTTGAGATGGAGGGAGCATATTAGTGATAGGAGAGGACTGCTTTATGTTTTTCAGTAGTTATCCTTATTTTTAAGGCAGATCAAAGAGAAAAGAACAGAACCATCTGTGACTTAGAATCATAGGCTGTTAATCCTGGAAAATCACCTCGTGCAGAGAAATCCGAGATTTGCCAACACTGGGCCACATGATCAGCTATGCTCTATCAGCATAGAGTGTACACGCTCTATCAGCAAGTGTGACCACAGCAGTGAGTCAAGAGGGTCTGTGCTTGGCTAAGGGAATTAGATATGATTCAAACCTTAGTCAATCTATAGAAGCCATTTACATAGCTGTACTGATTGTCAGTATTTCTTTAAAATGCTCTAGTTTCTTGATTTAATTATATTTATAATAATGAAGAATACTTAACTGCAATTATAATTACCAAATGATCCAAGCTTGCGGTCAATGACACCTGGCAACCTTTGGATAAAAGATCTTAGCAGCAAACAAGTACTTAGGAACCACCTAATCTTATGTTTGGTCAGTGCCTGCTAATTAGGAAAGTGATCTCCTTTTTTTTTTTTTTTTAAGATTTTATTTATTTATTCGACAGAGAGAGAGATCACAAGTAGGCAGAGAGGCAGGCAGGCAGAGAGAGAGAGAGGAGGAAGCAGGCTCCCTGTGGAGCAGAGAGCCTGATGCGGGGCTCGATCCCAGGACCCTGGGATCATGACCTAAGCCAAAGGCAGAGGCTTAACCCACTGAGCGACCCAGGTGCCCCTGATCTCCTTTTTTTGATAAAAATCTCAAGATACATATACATGAGTACATACACGTAACATATATTTCTAATTATATGGCTGACTACAGAAAGCAAAAACCTAGATAACTCTTGGTAAGATGAATCTCTAGGGTCCACTCTAGATTAGCCCAACCCCACCTTCTTACAAATAAAAAAATGAGGAACCAAAGAAGTGACTTGCCCTAGTGGCAGACCGGGAAACATATATCCCAAGTTTTGTGGTTTCCAGAGTTATAAGCTATCTGTGATGTCAGACTACCCATTAACTGATGAGTACAGGGAGGGAAATCTAAAACAGAAATGGTGCTGTACAATAGAATTCATCCTGTTGAAAATCATGACTTAAAGGGGGGGTCACCTGGGTGGCTCAGTCAGTTAAGTGTCTGCCTTCAGCTCAGGTCATGATCCCAGTGTCCTGGGATGGAGTCCCACATCGGGCTCCCTGCTCAGTGGGAGCCTCCTTCTCCTTCTCCCTCTGCCACTTCCCCTAGCTTGTGCTCTCTCTGTCAAATAAATAAATAAAATCTTTAAAAAAATCATCACTTCAGAGTGTGACATGTTACTGATGCAATCCCAACTACACAGAAATTAGCACTCAACATGCCCCAAACCCCACCATCACGTACATACATGTGGGTATGTGAAGACCCCTGCGACAATGTCAATTTAATTAACCAAGTGTCTGATGGTTACCTCTGACTTGACCATTCAATGGCAATACAATGTGAGAATAGCTCCACCTAAATGCTCCAAGTGGTAACAGCCATTATTTATTGGTTACTTTGTACAAGTTTCTGAAGATGTATCATATCTCATTTAATCTCCATGACCCTAACAAATGAATGTTATTATTTTTTGCTGCCTTTTATAAAGGCACTGCATCTTACAAAGTGAAAATGATGGGCGCCTGGGTGGCTCAGCTAGTTGCGCCTCGGCCTTCAGCTCAGATCACGATCTCAGGGTACTGGGATCGAGCCCCACATGAGGCTCCCTGCGCAGCCGGAAGTCTGCCTCTCCCTCTACCCCTCCCCACTCTTGCGCACATGCTCTCTCAAATAATAAATAAATAAATAATTTTTTTTTTTTAAAACAACAAAGTGAAAGTGCCTTCCCTACAGATCTGCAATAAAAACCTGGACAATGTGATTCTAAATCCCTTGTTCTGAAACACTAACAATTTCCCCCTTTTTATGTTATGTTATGTGCTGTCCTTGTGCCTAATATCCAGGTGATAGTCTATTGTTTCAAAAAGCCTCTCGGCAAAAGTTAAACCTTAAAACAAGAACCTCCTTCATATTCTAAATCAACACCAAAATGTTTCTGAAGAACAGATTTTTAAAATTTATTCCCTTTTTATGTATAATAATCTGACCAGTCATTTGGGGCTTTACACTTGTGAGAACTCAGCACTTTGTCATCTTAAACAAATCCTAAGAGAACATGACTAATTACTAATGGTCCTTTAGTGTTTAGTGTAGCTCAAACTAGGTAGAAAACAAGTACAGTAAAAAAGAAAAAAAAAACAAACAAACCCTATTAGGCCAAATTAAAACACTGTCTTAATGTGGTCTACTGAGAAGTATAGTAACTATAAAACAAAAATACTTTGCATTTTTAGGTTCTACTTGGGAATCCTAAATTTCAAATTAAGCAGTGACTAAACCCAAGTTGTTACTTAATAAATGGCAGCTGGCACTTCAGTTATCAATTATGTGATTATAAACTACTCCCTCTATGGAGAGAATTTCTAGAATTAAGTAGCAGAAAAAAGAAATTAAGAAAACAATCACATTTACAATTACATAGAAAAAATAACAAAATAACCAGAAATAAATTTAGCCAAGGACATGAAAGCTCTGTACTCCAAAAACTATAAAACTCTGATGAAAGAAATTGAAGATGACATGTAAATGGAAAGATATTCCATTATGGATTAGAAGAACAAATATTGTTACAAAATGTCCACACCACCCAAAGCAATCTACCGATGTAACGCAATCCCTATCAAAATGCCAACAGCATTTTTCACAGAACTAGAATGAACAATTCTAAAATTTGTGTGGAACTACAAAAGACCTCAAATAGACAAAGCAATCTTGAGAAAGAAGGACAAAGCTGGAGTTCCTACAATCCCAGATTTTAGGATATATGACAAAGCTGTACTAATCAAAAGACAAAGCTGTATTAATCAAAACAGTACGGTACTGGCACAAAAACAGATACATAAATCAAGGGAACAGGATAGAGAGCCTAGAAATGAATCCATGCTCATATGGTCAATTAATCTATAACAAAGGAGGCAAGAATACACAATGGGGGAAAGAGAGTCTCTTCAACAGATGGTGCTGGGAAAACGGGACAGCCACATTCAAAAGAATGAAACTGGATCGCTTTCTTACACTACACACCAAAATAAACTCACAATGGGTCAAAGACCTAAACATGAGACCTGAAACCATAAGAGTCCTAGAAGAAAATGTAGGCAATAATATCTTTGACATCAACTATAGGAACATTTTTCTAGATAGGTCTTCTGGGTCAAGAGAATTAAAAGTGAAGTTGAACTATTGAGACCCAAATAAACTTCTGCACTGTGAAGGAAACCATCAGCAAAAAGGCAACCTACTGAGTGGGAGAAGATATCTGCCAATGGTATATAGCCTATAAGGCACTAATTTCCAAAATATAGGAAGAACTTCTACAACACCAAATATACCAAATAAATTGATTAAAAATAGGCAGGGGACCTCAACAGACATTTTTCCAAGGAAGACATACAAATGGCCACAGACACATGAGAAGATGCTCCACATCACTTGTCATCAGGGAAATGCAAATCAAAACCACAATGAGATACCACCTCATATCAGTTAGAATGGCTAAAATAAAAAACACAGGAAATAAGTATTAATGAGGACATGGAGAAAACGGAACCTTCGTGCACTATTGGTGAAAATGCCTGTGGTGCAGTCACTGCAGAAGACAGTATGAAGGTTCCTTAAAAATTAAAAATAGAATTAGCATATGACCCAGTAATTCCACTACTAGATATTTACCCAAAGAAAATGAAAACACTAATTTAAAAAGA